GGGGGGGGGGGGGGTGGAGCGAGTGTTATATTTTGGGTTGTACCCACCAACCGGGAAAAATGATGATTTTATGCCCGTCACCACTTCCATCCGCATTCCTGTCTCCTGCTTCGCGCCTATCATGTCACCACTTCACGCGCACATGTTTGTGTCTTCGTTCGTTTTTCTCACATCCCATTCCCTCGACTTTGTGCAGAACAACGCGGGCTCTCGCAAGATCTTCTTCGCGCGCTCCGATCGCCCGGTGTTCTCGAATTGTGTCAGAGCCTTTTTTTTTTTTTTCGTTCGTCTTTTGGAGTGATTTTGCACGCTTATCACAGATAGGCAATGGACAGGCGAGCGGGGGGGGGTGTTTTCTTTGGTATGAAAGCTGAATCTCCGGGGAATGGTTTTGCGCTCTGCCTTTCCTCTTATCACAGATTCACAATCGACGCACGGTCGTAGGGGGGTTGTTTTCGTGCTGTTGTAGGCGAGGGGGAGCGGGGGCGGGGTTATTGGTCGGCTCAATCTCTGCTTCCTCTCCTATCGCAGATACACAAGGGAGCAGGGGGTTGTTTTCGTTGGTGTCTTCTGTGTGCCTCTGGTTGATCGTCACGCAAGTACATAATGCACGCGGTCGGTGGTAAGTGGCGAGGGGGGGGGAAAGGGGGATGTCGTTTGCACAGATGCACTGGGGAGACTTTTTTCTTGCCCCTTGTGCCGTTTTGGATCACAAATACTTAAAAGTAGTTGCTTTTGGATTTGTTTGCGGGTGGCCTTTTTGTTATAGAAAGGTCGACGAATTTTTCCTCCGTTTCCGAACACGGAGGTTTTTGATTCCGCTGATTCTTGTTTCCATGCACTGGGAGATTAAGAATGCCAAAGTCTTCATTTTTTCGTGTGCCTGCACGATACCTCATCGACCGCACCAGCTCCACACGCACGACAGCGTCCGTGACGGAAACACAGCCAGCTTTTCCTGAGCAAGACACAGAAAATAGACGCGACTAGAAGATTACTCACTGCACGGATGTAGAGCTCAAGCGGCCGAAGAACCCTCCTCGTCATGAACCACGCGCTGTTTCTTGGCCGGGGAGCAGACGGCCTTCTCCTTCTTCAGGGCGAAGTCGAGGTATTATCCGAGGAGCACGGCAAGCTGTCCGTAGAAGCAGTTGTCGCAGCGGAACATGGAGGGGTCCTTGTCGGTTCCTCCGTTGGTGTCGTAGAGCAGGCGCGCAACGTTGCGGCAGATGCCGCAGGCGTAGTCCTTGTTGTCCTCGATCTTGCGAACTTTCTCTTTGCAGACGCGTCCATCGGCGTGGGTATAGATGCGGTCCTTCAGTTCACCCATTTCGAGGTACAGGGTGGAAAGCCCGATAGGGGCGGCGCAGCTCTGGCAGTTGAAGGAGACTTTAGGCTTCCCGCGGCGGGCGACCCTGGCGGTGGCGTTCGACTGAAGAATGATCTTCCGGCATCCGCCACAGCTGTCGATCAGCAAAAATCAGGCGAGGAAGGGGATGGGCGAGAGGGCATGATATTCAGACGATACAGAGTTGAAGTTTCGGCATGATGTAGCGGCAAAGTGCAGCGTGCAGGAGACCGGTGCGTCATGTTGGAGCGTCGCACCCATAGCGTTATAAAATGGCAACTTCATAATATCAAATGACAGATAAATGACGGATCAGTCCACAAAATATGACGCCCAAGAAACTCGAACCTGGGAATCACGCCGGTATGTGCAAAGAAGGATTCACGGTGCGGAGTAAATCTCGTGGACCAATCTTTCAGTCTGTTTCCGATGTCCTCCAACGCAACTGGCCGCGGACGCCGCGGTTCAAGCGCTCAAAACCGCGGGAATGCCCACAGCCGGGGGGCGGAGCAGCAGTCGGTCACACTCTCGGCGCCAACAACAATCGCGTCCAACTTCCTTTTTCGGGACCGGCCCAGCCAGAATTCCTGCTAGTAATCACGATGTCCCAGATATCGTGCCGCTTGGCGCTGGCGGTACCACGGCCGGGCAGCCTCATCATATGGGCGGTCCTCCTATATCGCGAGCTGCATTACGATCGGAACGAATCGCTCAACGCGACCAACGCGAAAGAAGAGCAGAGGCGGAAAGTCAGGCAGCAACGGACAAGCGTATTGATCAACGTC